TGTGAATGAGTTTCTTACAGCAGCTATCACCCTGTGTCGGCTCAGCAGTCCACATGAGCAGGAATTGGAGATGTCTGGCCAGCTCTTAGTGTATAAATGTACAACGAATTCAACCAAAACTAAACAGAAATCTTACCTGCATTCCACATCATGGACCAGACTCACTTTTGTCACATATATTCCCCTCTGATTTGCAGCTAAAATTTAACCCAGAATTGTTAACCTAATAATATTCTTGAGCCCTAAAGTTACATAGACACAAGTTTAAGAACTGGGTTGGTTATAAGAATGTTTGGAATAATTTCAACTGACTGTAGCGAGTGATTCATAAATTTTGTGAGCACTCTGTGTATTTCATATTACTTCCTTCCATATTATTAGTGGAATCATATGCATACAACCAAGAGATAAATCATTATATATTTTGTTGCAAAATATAATTTAACACAGACAGGGACATTTGCGTTTTGCAGCAGTTTCTACTGAACAGGAGCCAAGTACATTTCCTTCTTGGCCTCCCTTCCTCTCTCTGTTTCAATTTTGAGCAGTATCAGTTAATCTCTTGTAGTTTCTTTCTTCTGATATCATATAGTATCTAAAGCAATGCCTAAATGAGCTTTTTTCCTCACATAAATAGTTATTTTCAAAACCAGGTAGGTGCATGTTTTATATTCCTAAGGAACAGAAGAAATGTTATTGCTTAGAATATTATTCTACAGCTTACTCAATTGTTCCCATGCATCCACTTCAGAGCTCTCCAAAGAAATATGCCCATGTGACAAGAAATACATGCCCAGTTTATAAGAACAGAGTTCAGTAAGAAAAAACGAAACACAAAACCTTGTGTTTTTTCCACAATGTTGAAATTTTGCCTTGGCTTGTTTGATAATAAATGACTAAGATACAGTAGGCTGTAGGTCCCAAATCCCCTCCACCAAAAAACCTCACATCATCAAACACCAAAAAAAGCTACATCTTGCAAGGACTGGATACCCATTGCTTCTCAGCGTGGAACTTGCTGAAAGGTGCTGTGGACCTCTGACCATGGCCTTGAAATCACAGTATGAGAATCACTCTGGACAACTGACACAGCTCTTAATTAGTCCGTTTAGGTGCAGAAGTCCATTTCAGCTATATCTGAATGGAATTAGCTAATGTACTAGACATAATTTTATCTTCAAAACCATGTAGCCAAGTATATTTCCATTACTGTTTCTCTTTAGTATCCAAAAACTAATGCTAAGCTGGCAAACTGTGCTTTCAATGATCTGTGTGTAATCTAACACTAAGTCAAAACTCTTCAGAGCTCTGATAAAGCCTTTAAAAGAGAAGATTCAAAACCAAAAGATTAAATACCCTTAAGGAATCAGGATAAGGCCAAAGATGTAATACTTGGGATCAAATTATCGATGAGTGGAAAGAGAAGGCAAAATTTAGTTCATATGTCACTTACGGGGAGAGGTGACCACCCTCTTCTACAGTAAAGACAAATGGACCATCCTATCTCTTTCTGTTATTTCACAAGATTTTGCAAGACTATGGAAACAATCTTTTAAAACATAAGAACACCTACATTAAAACATTATTTTCCAGCAATCTAACACAAATTCTGTTATTACCAGAAATACACATGTATTTTCTAACTCTAAACCAGCTTCATATGTTCTGTAACTAATATGCTGCAAGATTTAAGAAAATGTTAACAAATTTAATTAAATTGGCACAATTGACAAGTTTTAAATACTTTTGATTCAGTGTTTAAAGAAATAAAAGCCTGAAAAGCCAAACCTAGTCAAAGATGTTTGGCTTTCAAAGGCCACACAGAGAGAGTTCAAAAACTTTGGACCCTTGCACAAAAAAATTCCAATCTTCGATGGACATCATTAGTTATATATAATTAGCAATACATATATTGTTGGCTATATAAATACCATGTTAAACAGCAATAAGTGATGCAAAGATCTTCCAAATTAAGACAACACACATCAAGGTTTAGCAGAAAAACTGGGAATAAGAAAAACATAGAAAAGATAGTTCATTCCTTCTGAAACCTTTGTTAAAACACATAGGCTATTAGTCCTAACAAGACAATTAAGAAATCTATGCAGTATTAGTGCACGGCTGCTGAAAAATTAAAACCTACTCCTACTCCTACTCCTAAAGTTGTATCCCAAAGTACTTTTATCTCTATGTTGACAATCCCACAGGATTGTCCATTCTATTTTGGTTATTTATGTTGTCAGTTTCCTGGAGCAAGGACTTTTACTTCTGTACATGGACACTACTAGTATTTTACCAATAAATAGCTACCACAGCAGTACACCTTTGTTTTAAAAATTGGTAAAACAAAGAAAAAAGGAATAAAATTATTTTAAAGCTACTAATATTTACATAGCATAATCCCTCATTTTAGCCCTAAAAACAGAGACCTCCACCCCCCACCCTGAACTTTTATTACTGTTCCAGGTATCTGTTGGTTCTTTGCAGCTATATTGCTCACTTTTGCCTGCAAACCAAGTCTCCACAACAGCAGCAGTTGTCATCGCCACCACTATTTATAATATACATATTATATAGAATGGGACAGCTTCTAATTCCTGTTAAATTGCTGCAAGTCTGGAGAGATTTTATTAAGTCAATAGGCTTGATGTCACTGAGATCATGGTTTGGCTCCGTTCTTTCTCATGTCATTTAAGGAACAGTACAGCTTTCCAGAGAGTGGCATGCATTTTACACATTCTGTTCTTTACAGAGAAGCACGTTTTAACCATGCCACTGTTTATATGCACTGCTGAATTTGAAGCAGGTGACCTAATTTATCGGAACAGAATGCAAGGCCCAAGAGTCTGACTCCAAACTGCCACGTACTTTTCCGGGCTGGACCAGAGAATGTCCCAAGTTTCTTGCATCACTTAATGTCTTGAAAAGTTTTTTTCAGCCAGACCTGCCAGAATTGTTTGCATCCTGAATGCCAAACTGAATAGCGATCCAGAATTTTCAAATGCAGGGACCACAAATTGCTTGGCTTTTGAAAGAAGAAAGAAATAATTTAATCTATACATTTTGATTTATAGTGAGTGCTATTTATTTTAAGATATTTTCCACTATTTAAAATATGAAGAAGAGGCTATAAAAGCAATTTTTAAAATCACAGGGGAAAAAGGCAAGCTGAGAAATGTGACACTTTTCAGTTTCTCCACATTACACCTTGCTGTTGCACTCATCTTTCTAGAGAGACAGGTAATTTATTTCTTAAAGTAATAAGCTCACTTAGAGTATTTGCTGGGCACCCATTCAGGAAGGGCTACTATTTAATAGGATTTTAGAAAGTTTGAGAGTCTTGTTGAGTGAGGTATGAATGTGGGTATTTCTCTTTGCTGCTCCACATCCACGTTTTTTTGACGGACTAGATCTCCAGAGCTGTGGCTTTCAGCCTTTGGCTGCAGAACCCTAAGTGTCTTAAGACCACATCTATTAGGTTTGAGAAAGATCAATAAGAAAGGGAATTGTGTTGTCATTTGGCCTAAATTTGTTCTATAGGAATTGAAAACCAATGGCTTTAAGTTAAAAAAGAACAGATTGTGAATGGTACTTTATGGAATTTTACATATTTAAATGATTACATTTTGTTTGGAGAAGAGTTTCACTGATAAAACTTGGTGCTCCCCTCTCTGTTACCCATTCTCCCATGTTCTGGCTTTGTTTCTTCTTCTTTCTTCCCAATACATCTTCTGCAGGATATTTCACATTCCTCAGGTTCACCTGGGTTAGGTGACCTTTATGGGGAGAAAGGCCACTTAACATCTCCCAGTGGCTGGAGAGATATCTGATTATCACAGAATCACAGAATTTTCAGAGTTGGAAGGGACCTCTAGAGATCATCTAGTCCAACCCCCCTGCTAAAGCAGGATTGCCCAGAGCACATTGCTCAGGACTGCATCCAGGCGGGTTTTGAAAATCTCCAGAGAAGGGGACTCCACAACCTCCCTGGGCAGCCTGTGCCAGTGCTCTGTCACCCGAACTGTAAAGAAGTTTTTTCGTGTGTTGGAACGGAACTTCCTATGTTCCAACTTGCACCCATTGCCCCTCGTCCTGTCACTGGGAACCACCGAGAAGAGTGTGGCTCCATCCTCCTTCAACCCACCCTTTAGATATTTGTAAGTAGTAATAAGGTCTCCCCTCAGCCTTCTCTTCTCCAGGCTAAAGAGTCCCAGCTCTCTCAGCCTTTCCTCGTAAGGGAGATTAGATCTACTATTGATGTGCATCATGAATCCCTAATGATAGGCCACATCCAAACCCCATCCATGCTATGTTTTCATAACCTGAAAATTATTTTAAACAACAAGCAAAAGAAAATTATTCTAAGTCACGAACTGTTAGCAGATGAAAAAGTTGACCAGCAAAGTCTTGATGACATATAGGCAATGATCAACAAGAGAGATGAACCTTATGTTTTATAATATGGCAGCCACAAGCAAAAACTGCCGGATCCTGTCCTCAGGAAAAGTGAGCTACACATTATAAATAAAATTAACATGAAAAAATGAAGGCGTTAACATCAAGTAATGTAATGATAAGCCCCATTTCAATACCCACTGACTTCTGTTCAATCATCCTTATGCAGAGCACATACATAATGACAGCTGAAACTTGCTGGCATAGTAAAAGGCAGCTTTGACAGAACCTCCAAGAGTCAATATCTATTTTCTCTAAACAGTGAAAATACAGTCTTTTTTCTAAGACAACAGTCCTGTAGCAAATATTTATTTCCTATCACTTACATAAAGTAGATCTAGTACCCCAAAAGTAAACACCTTCTTTCAACAGCTGCTAACTGGTCAACAAACTCTCTCTACTCCTGCTTGCAAATGGCAATCTCCTTTTTATTATAAACAAACTTGGCCAAGGTTTGGCCAGCTGCTCATGCCTTTTAGTATTTGTATTTGAGATGGGTTTTGGTGGTGGTGTTTGGGGTTTTTTGGGTTTTTCTTGTAACTTACCTAGTAGAGACTGTGAGTTAACATCCCTTCTTCGAGTGAAATGTCCTCCAGGGAGATCTTTTGCCATGACAGAGACAGCGTAAAGCAGAGTGTGTCCGAACAGCAGAAAGAAGCATGCAATCATTTTCTTCATCTTCAAGAAACAGAGGGACATTCAAGGATGTGAAACTGCAATAAAGGAGAAAAGGGGATGAGATCTTTGATTACACAAAAAAATACACTGTAACCATGTCAGCCAGCCAGCTGCATTGCTTCCCTCCCATACCATACAAACATGCAGCTATACTGGCATGGAATAATACCTACACCTTCAAGAAAGAAGAACTACATAATAAAGTAGCAGTTAGCAGACCCTGCACAGTGTTTATAAGTATTGGTAGTTGAAGTTCATAGCTAACATTTATAATGTATTGACTTTTACAATCATTCGTAATAATCAAGTATTTTTAAAGCAAGAAAAGGAACTTTGTTTCAGTCAGCCTGCTAGCATAAACAGGTTTGAGGAGGACACAAATATATTTTCATTATTCTACTCAGCACTCTGTTGCATTTTTTCAGATGTTTAATGGTTCTTGTAGTCTGAGGGATACTTGCTTCAGAAAACCTTGGAGAACGAAAACAAGAGAAGGGCATGTATTCCAGAAACAGCAACTATAATTTTGAACTGGTGACAGCTCATGCTTCCTTTTCATAAGACTGTCCATGGTTGTTAGCACAAAGATAACAGTGCAGAATGAATCTTGTTTACTCAAGACTTCTGAGGACTAGCAATGATCTTGCTACAGGTTATGGACAAGTTCAGTCATACAGAAGAACAAACTAAAAAGCAAAATTCCTATGCTAAGAGATGATTCCTGCCCAGGAGTTTGTTAAGGCACCATCAAAAGCCATAGCTGACTCTACCCACAAACAGAAAGGTAAGACTGACATGCTAAACGCTCATCTTCTGGCCATGTCCACCGTTGGTGGGCTTTCCATGGGAGAGGGCTCTAGAGGGTAAGGGGGCTCAAGAGAGCTGGCTGCTATTTAAGCATCACTTCCTCCAAGCTCAGGATCAGTGCATCCCAAAGAGAAAGAAATCAGGCAAGGGAAGAAGGAGACATGCATGACTGAGCAGGGACCTTCTGAAAAAGCTCAGGTGGAAGAAGGGAGTTTACAATAGGTGGAAGAAGGGGCTGACTGCTTGGGAGGAATACAAGAATACTGTCAGGGTATGCAGGGAGGAAACAAGGAAAGCCAAGGCAGCCTTGGAATTGAACCTGGCGAGGGATGTCAAGGCCAACAGGAAGGGTTTCTTTAAGTATATAGGAGACAAAAGGAAAACTAGGGAAAATGTGGGCCCGTTGTTGAATGAGACAGGTGCTGTGGTGACGGATGATGCAGAGAAGGCGGAGTTGCTAAATGCCTTCTTTGCTTCTGTCTTCACTGTTCGGGCCAGTCCTTGTGAGACCCAGACTTTGCAGGTAACAGAGAAAGTCTGGGGGAAACAAGACTATCCCTTGGTTAACAAGGAACACGTTAAAGATCAGTTAGATAAATTGGATATACATAAATCCATGGGGCCTGATGGGATGCACCCTCGGGTGCTGAGGGAGCTGGGGGAAGTCATTGCTGGGCCTCTCTCCATTATCTTTGAAAGGTCCTGGAGGACAGGTGAGGTGCCTGAGGACTGGAGGATAGCCAATGTCACTCCAGTCTTCAAAAAGGGCAGGAAGGATGACCCGGGAAACTACAGGCCGGTCAGCCTCACCTCCATCCCTGGGAAGATGATGGAGCAGCTTGTTCTGGGAGTCATCTCAAAGCACCTGGATGAAAAGAAGATTATCAGAAGTAGTCAACATGGATTCACCAAGGGGAAGTCATGTCTGACTAATCTGATAGCCTTCTATGACAAAGTAACTAGATGGGTGGATGAGGGGAGGGCAGTGGATGTTGTCTACCTTGACTTTGGCAAGGCTTTCGACACTGTCTCCCACATCATCCTCACAGGAAAGCTTAGGAAGTGTGGCTTAGATGAATGGACGGTGAGGTGGATTGAGAACTGGCTCACAGATAGAGCTCAGAGGGTTGTGGTTAGTGGCGCAGAGTCTAGTTGGAGGTTAGTAACAAGTGGTGTCCCTCAGGGGTCAGTACTGGGCCCAGTTTTGTTCAACATATTCATCAATGATCTGGATGAAGGGATAGAGTGTACCATCAGCAAGTTTGCTGATGACACAAAACTGGGAGGAGTGGCTGACACGCCAGAAGGCTGTGCTGCCTTACAGCGTGACCTCGCCAGGCTGGAGAGTTGGGCAGAAAGAAACCTTATGAAGTTCAACAAGGGTAAGTGTAGGGTACTGCACCTGGGGAGGAATAACCCCATGCACCAGTACAGGTTGGGGGCTGACCTCCTGGAGAGCAGCTCTGTGGAGAGGGACCTGGGAGTCCTGGTGGACAACAGGATGACCATGAGCCAGCAATGTGCCCTGGCGGCCAAGAAGGCGAATGGCATCCTGGGGTGCATCAAGAAGAGTGTGGCCAGCAGGTCGAGGGAGGTCATCCTCCCCCTCTACTCTGCCCTGGTGAGACCGCATCTGGAGTACTGTGTCCAGTTCTGGGCTCCCCAGTTCAAGAAAGACAGGGAACTGCTGGAGAGGGTCCAGCAAAGGGCAACAAAGATGATTAGGGGACTGGAGCACCTTTCTTATGAGGAAAGGCTGAGGGACTTGGGTCTCTTTAGTCTAGAGAAAAGAAGATTGAGGGGGGATCTTATTAATACATACAAATACTTAATGGGAGGATGCCAGGGGGATGGGAGTAGTCTTTTTTCAGTGGCACCCAGTGATAGGACGAGGGGCGCCTGGACGTGCACCTGTGCAACGGTGACCCTGCTCTGGCAGGCTGGCAGGGGGGTTGGACCAGATGATCTCCAGAGGTCCCTTCCAACCCTGACCATTCTGTGATTCCTCAGATGGCGATTCCTTCTACCTTCCTCCAAAACTTTATTGTTGTCTACTGTGAAAAGAGGATCTCACAGGAGCTAGATTCAGCCTTGGAACTGGTGATATGATGAAGCTTAGTCAAGAGCTCCTCTAGGTGCGCAAGAGATGGATAAAACTACCCTCTTTCACAACAAAGAACTGTTTTACAGTTCTTTACAAGCAGTGCAAATTTTAACATCAATTCTTGGTTAAGTAACCAAGATGTTGAAAACAATTTTAATAGGATCCTAAACCTGATAAGCAGATAGAGCCACAGTTCTGTAGCAGAAGGCAACAAAATGCCCCAGTTCAGAAAGTGACTTGATTTTTTTTCCCACTATGAGGTACTCACTGGCAGAATATAAAATTCTGAGCAAGTATTTTCTCTCTAATAGAGATTTTATACATGATTCTTCAGTCTGTCCAACACAACCGTTACACATTGCTCTATTTTTCTGTCTATCAATCTGTTTTTCCTTTTGTGTATCCGACTTAGCATCCCCAAATGCAAACACAATGTTCTGATGTATATGCCAGAGAGGAAAATGAACTGAGTCTTTGCACTCAAAACACCCTGCCTTGCTTAAAACATTTAATACTATTCAGTAACAGGTAAAACATGATTTAAGGACATTCAAACTAGGAAAGAGATGTATGTAAATAGTTGATGCTTCTAATAGTGGCCACAAAAAAAAAAAAACTTTTGGAGCCCTAGCAGCATGGACACCTGGGCAGTATTATTGGTAGAATATTTCCAGTGCTCTAGTCAGAAACAGATAGACACTGAAAACAGCACACACCACTGAAAATGGGACAAAATCTTGCTGGAGGCAACTGTTGTTACCACTGGAGATTACTGTTGAAAGCTTCTCCCAGTTTGTCTCCTTGCTTCTCAGGACATCAGCAACAAACACAGGGCTCTACAAGGCCTCCCTTCCCTCTGGCCTCTTCCTTCAGCACACAAGGCAAATGAACCTCAAGGATACATGCCAGTTCTAGCACCAATGTTTTAGAAACATAGAAGCCATGGTCAGAGAGCTAGGGAGCGTAGAGAAATATTTTTCATCCTTATTTGCAAGGTTGCCACAGGAACCAGCCGTGAACAGCTTGTTCAAAGGGCCTATCCGGCTGTTACCTAGTTGCCAGTGACCTAACTCATCTCTCCTTCCTATCCATCCTAAACAGCCGTGGAGACTGAGCCAAAGCCACTTTACCTGTTCCTGATGGCACACTAATGGAGACCCAACGATACTGTGGCAGACCACCTTCACGTATGGCTGAACCATCCACTAAGAGCACGATGCCAAAGAAAACCATGATAAAGAAGTGACTTAGAACAGTCCTACCAGCTCTGCAAAGCATGCAACAATAAACCCTCTTACATTCTGATACTTAACGTATTTTATAACTTTGTAGCAATTTTTGATATTGGATAGCAATTTCAAATTCACTGGGCTCACACTTATTCTGAAGCAACTTCAGGAACAAGAAAAAATAAAGTGTTCGCTATGATTTTAAGTCTTTGAATTCTGCTAAGGAAATGGTTATACAGCATGTAAATATCCTATAATTAGCTGATCATATAAACCAAAATGCCTACATAAGCATTCATTAGTTGTCACCAAATTCTGAAACATATTAAAGCAGTAAATTTTCAATTTTGCATGATTTTACCAGCCCCTTTGAAAAGTAAAAGGAGGGGTACTAAAGAAAAGAAGCATTGAACAACAGTGCCCAGTTTACTAGGGATCTTTTTATTCAAATTTAACGTAACTTCTACTGTTCAATAGTATTTCTTTTTGATTCAGAAACCTTAGATCCTTAGATCTTAATATCTTTACTAGCCTGATAAACAGAAAATAAGCTTATTTATAGTTCCACCAAAAAGATCCAATTCTTATTTTAAAAAAATCTATTATCAACACCTCCTCCCCTCACAGTGTTTTAAAATACTGTTTGAAAAGAAAGCAATGCTTAAGAAAGTAGAGCTTTAGTAGCCTCATCTTACAAAGTTTGATATATAATATAATCTAAAATAAAAATTAAATTGAAATTGCATCCATGTACAATGAGAAAAAAAAACCCAAGTTCCTAAAGCCAAAGGCTG